TCATAACCATTAATAAAGCAATTAATTAGGTCTGTGCGCTATGAAATTCGAAGACCTTTGGTAGGTCATGCTCAGAAGTACATGTCTTTTGTATTAGTGAGGCGATAAAATTCAAATGGAAATGAGAAATGTTTCCTGCTCTTTACATGGAATGTGGAAAAAAATACGCCAGAATTTTACTGGTTTATTAAAGGGAATATGTCAGAGGGACTGTTCCTCCTCTGTGCTTTTGACTGTCAGAAAAGCATGCAATATTACATTTTTTCAGTGAAACAAAGCAGGTTTAAGGTATAAAAATGCTGTTTATTTATGAGAAGTGTAGAATTTTGTCCAAGCCCAAGCCTCAGTCGTGGAAGGGGCAGCAGGCGGGGTGGAGCAGTAAATGCAGTGCAGGGATGGACTCTGACACTCTCCAGGCTCTGGTGTCCGGCCTTGCTGCTCCTGTGGAGGGACAGGGAGGAGAGTGACAGTGTCTGGCCTTCCTATCAATTAGGATCAAAGCCACCTAGCTGGCTGAGATGTGCTTCCTCTGAATCCTCATTTTGGGTTTCTGTCATGCTTCTTTAATCTCCTACAAAGTTACATTTCCATGAAACAAAAAAATTTCCATTTTTCCTGCTTATTTTTGTTAAGTGGAAAGTCTCCTTAATGATGTTTTTTTGGATTCAGAAGCTCCTCATCTAGGTCAGCATTTTCAGAATGCCACTTTCCCAGTTGTTACATCGCTACGCCTCAAATCCCTAATTCTAAACAATGAAAGTCTTGGAACAGTTCTTGCTTTCCTTTAATTTCCTTCCTTCTGAGAGCTGAATTTTTCCTCTCATCACGGTCTCCATCCCAGCTTCAACTCATTTATCAATTTATAAGTCTCGCTTCTTCCAGAATAGTTTTTCAGATACGTATTTTTAGATGAGAGCTGTTCCATCTTTCCAAAATGATCACTTCAAGCTCAGCCACTGGAGCTGAGACATACAATATTTAAATTATTATTTATAGTACAGGAACATGTGGAGACTTTCATTAAAGATAAGGCATTAGCCTTGTGCCTTGATGAGTGAAGGCACAGTGAGTGATGGTCCCTACTCTGAGATGTTTGCACTCTTCAGCCTGGGTGGACTTGCTGGCAGAATTTAAGGAGAAATTTAACCCAAACGCATCCCTAATTCTTTTGATTCCTCAGCTAGTACCAGCTCATGATCTGTCAAGCTTCAGCAGAGCCTGGTGCATTTCTGGCCTGAAAGAAACCTTTCTACTTGGATTACCATTTATAGCTCCAATTTTTTCACTAAGTGGTGTAAATTAGTTCTGTGTGACTTGATGGATTCTCTCCCTCCCCCTTGACAACAGTGATAAAAGATCTGACCCCTTTCTGGATGTTTGTAAAACCAGACATACAAAATCTAATTTGTTTAGGGCTGAGCTTTTAATTGCTTCACCATCACAACGTGAAACCAAACACTTTAGCAATCTTGGGGATTGATGGACTGATTTATAATAAGAGACTTGACCCAAGAGGGGTTATCAGCTTTGGATGTAGCAAAATAAATCTTTTGGGATTTGTCAGGACATGGGTACAGACTTGTGTGGGGCAGGGGTTTGGGGTGCAGCTCCTGAACCCTGCTCTGGCTGCTGATGGAATGCCCCACTGACATGGTCTTGAGGCCAGGGCTGCACGCTGCAGCAGAGAACTAGAGCTGAACAGCCAGGCCAGGCTCTGCCCTGCTCCCAGGTGTCCAAAAACCAGGCTGTGCTCTCTGACCCCACAGCAGGATGAAACCCCTGCAGGTCTGAGGGGCTTTGGGGGTTTCATTGCTAAGAATTAGGATTACAAAACAAACCCAGTGCTGATGTGCAGAGTATTCCTGGTTTTAAACTACCTCTAATTAATTTGGGGCTTTTTGCCCTGGCCCACAGGTCACAGGGCCTTCTTTATCCTTTCAGAGGTAGCACTGGCTTAGCCTTCTGCATGTGCTGATTAGTATCCAGTCAGACTAATTCTTTTTTCCCCAGAGAAATCCCCTGTGTTTTACTCATAAATAAAAAAGGAAAGGAAGAAACATTCTTGATGGTATTTTTGCGATTTGACTTTGCCTTCAGAATAGATCTGCACACATACAGCACTTGTCGTCCCTAAAACTTACATTTTGAAAGTTCTTTGAAGATCTAAATTACAGATCTTTCATATGAAAACTTAATGAAGGACTCTAAACAAAATAAAATAGAAATGATGACATGAAAGAGCCTTCTTATGGCTTCAATAACAAGATAAACAGTTTAATATTCCACATACTGCATTAAAAATAACAGCTGGGCTCTGTGGAGATGAATCCCCCAACTCAGCTACGCTGTTCCCACATTACCCCAGCACAGGCTGGTGGCTCTCCCTCACTTGCCACCTCCTCTGGCCCCCAGAAATGCTGAAGGCAGCCAACACCTGATCAGTTTTAGCAGACACCACTTTTAACAAACACAGAATAAAGTGCCATTACCAGCTCCCCCTCAGTACCCCCAAGTGATAGACACATTCTGTATTGACAGCCTCCAATTTTAATGAGCTATTGCTGTTTCAGACCATATTGATTGGGCTTTTTTTCCCCTCTTCCTCCAATTCAGCGAGAGGAAACAAGAACCAGCATTTCATTAAAAGGAGACTTTGTCCAGTGTTTCATATTTCATGAACGCTTGTGAGTGAACACATCCCATAAAATAACCAATTAATTCAGCCATGCTAAGACCCAGGCTGAAAACTACACCACTACATTAACAGAAGCCCAGGGAGGTTTAACATTTCCTCCTGTACGAAAAGTTCCCAAACATTATTTTCATCCACATCCCCTGATTCCCTTCACTTTCTACCTCCTGGCTTTCCTGACAGCTTCTGCTGTGTTTGTTGTTGTGTGTGACTATTCTACCATGCTGTTTGCAGCTCAGGGTGCTTCAGATGCAATCCCCGTTTTTCTCTGAGAGGTTTTTGTTATTGTTGCTTTTGACAACATCACAGATTGAAGTCTAGAGTGACCAAAAGAGCAGGGGAAGGAGTAACCTGCAATAATGATTTGCAAATTGTGTTAATTTCAGAGTGGGATTCTGCTTTTTGATAGGATTTAATGCGTAATGAGCTCCTGAGACGTTATTTTTGCTTCAAAGCTTTGCTGAGTACTAGATCCTATTAAATTCTTGCAGTGAACACACCAAAAAATACTTTGAGCTAATTTTAATAATTTTTAATTGAAGGAATATTTTTATTCCAATTTGAATATTCAAGCTGTTCAAAAGTTAACACATTCTCAAAGTACTCATCAGTCTTTTCTTCCCATAAAATCTTTTTTTAGGCAGCCTGTGATTTTTGGGGAGGGAGGCAGGTTTTTTTGTCTCAGGTTTGTTTTTCAGACCCAATTGAAGCAAATTTAGGCATATTTTGCTATTTATTTCTTTTTAAGTGCCTGCATGCTGCAGCCTAATCTCCATTCTTTTTATTGCTGTTTTATAGTCTACCATTATTGTTTGTTGCCTTTGCGTTTTCCTAAAAGCAGGAACAAACCCCAAATTTCCCTGCTAGTCCCTTCTTGTGTGGTAGCAGGAGCTGGGTTTGTGTGCGTGTGTCACGCTCAGTAACATATGTATTTCCTTGTTAGCAGGGTTGTTCTATTACATGAAATCTCAGGGATTCCAGCAGAGCCTGGCATCCCAGGCTGCAAAACAACTCCCAGGAGCCCAAAGAGCATCCAAACCTGCACACACGGGCAGGGCTGTGTGAGTGCCATGCTCCAGGGGGAGGAGAGGCACCCAGGGGTGCAGGGACCTGCTTCTGCCTTCCCAAAACCCTGGAGATGGCTCCTGCAGCCACGAGACCCTTTGGTTTATCTTCTCAACCTCAGTGCCCTCCCAAATCCCAGGGGAGGCTGAGACAGCAGCCCTGCAGTGTCTGTGGCACGGCTGTGCCTGCTTCAGGCTGTGCCAGGGCACGGGGCTGGGCCAGCTGAGCCCCTGACCCGCTGGCCACGCTGGCCTGGGGGCTCTGGGGAGCTTCTGACCCCACAGCTCTGCCTGCAGGCCTTTGGGGCTGGCAGGGGCTGGGGGAGCTGCTGTGGGACCCCGGCTTGCCTGGCCTTTCCTCAGGGGTGAGTGCAGCCAGGCACTGGGCACACAGGGGAGTGCAGGCACTCTGGACACACAGGTGAGTACAGCTGGGCACTGGGCACACAGTTGAGTGCAGCTGGGCACACAGGTGAGTTCAGCTGGGCACACAGGTGAGTGCAGCTGGGCACACAGGGGAGTGCAGATAGGCACTCTGGGCACACAGGTGGGTGCAGCTGGGCACACAGGTGAGTGCAGGCACTCTGGGCACACAGGTGAGTGCAGCTGGGCACACAGGTGAGTTCAGCTGGGCACACAGGTGAGTGCAGCTGGGCACACAGGTGAGTTCAGCTGGGCACACAGGTGAGTGCAGCTGGGCACACAGGTGAGTTCAGCTGGGCACACAGGTGAGTGCAGCTGGGCACACAGGTGAGTTCAGCTGGGCACACAGGTGAGTGCAGCTGGGCACACAGGTGAGTTCAGCTGGGCACACAGGTGAGTGCAGCTGGGCACACAGGTGAGTTCAGCTGGGCACACAGGTGAGTGCAGCTGGGCACACAGGTGAGTTCAGCTGGGCACACAGGTGAGTGCAGCTGGGCACACAGGTGAGTTCAGCTGGGCACACAGGTGAGTGCAGCTGGGCACACAGGTGAGTGCAGGCACTCTGGGCACACAGGTGAGTGCAGACAGACACTGGGCACACAGGTGAGTGCAGACAGGCACTGGGCACACAGGTGAGTGCAGCTGGGCACTGGGCACACAGGTGAGTGCAGACACTCTGGGCACACAGGTGAGCTGTGGCCTGAGCTGTGAGCACCCAGGGCTTTGCTGTGCTGCCCTGGCTCTGCTCACAGTGCACCAGCCAGGGGCTCTTCATTAGTGCTAAATGAGTGACCCTAATGAGTCCTTCCACCTCTGTGTCAGTTTTTAGGAATCAGAGGCAGATGGTTTAAGAGCTCTGGGATGTTTGGGGTGACCTTGGGGAGGTCTAACTGCAGCGCAAAATTGCAAATGGTGAGTGCAGTAAGCAGATTAAGAGTCTGGCTCTCTGGCAAATCTCAAGACCTAGTCTTATGTTGCTATTTTTCCCCTATGGCAAACTTACAGATTTCACAATGACTTTGCTGTAGCAGTGACTTGAAAATTATAGTGAGTGAGTGTTCCCTTTTTAAATAATGGATTATGAGGCAAAGATTAATTTTTGCTCAATTTCCACACTAATTCAGTGCCTTGCTGCCAGCAGGAGCACAAAGAAGGACATGAATTCACAGTGCTCTCCTCTCTCTCAGGGCTGTCACATGCCTTTGTTGGATGGGGCTCTTTGCAGTGAGGTGCTGTCACTCACGTCTGGTGCCTGCTGAACCGTGGGGCTGTGACACCTCCTGGAACATCCTTTGGTTCTTGTCAGCAGTGAAGAGCTCAGCCCTTCCCGGCCTGATCTGGGCTGCTCTGAGGGAAACCAGTGGGCAGAAGGTCACACACAACAGCCAGAGACAGCCACCACTCTGCAGCTGCCAGGTACCTCTTGTTTTTCAGGCCAGTTGAAAAAGCAGGGCAGAGGGAGAGAGAGGGAGAAGGAAACACAGAAAGACAGGCAGCTGAGAAGAGGTGAAACCAGAAATGCTGTGTCCCAGAGGCATTTATCAGCCCAAATGAAATGGAAACAGCGAAAGGGAAACACTGCTTTGCTTTTCTCAAAATTGTATTTCCAGTTGAATGAGTTGAAAAGAAAATATCCTTTCCTTTTCCTGCGATTTTGAGAGATCTGTTTGCTAAGTCTGCAGGCTTAGTGGGAGAGACAAGGAGTATTTATTTTCTGTATACGTTGGTAATTTATGAGGTTGCTATAAATGCAGAGTTTATGGAAGTAAAATCAGGCCATGAAATAAAAAGGATTTTATTCAAATATCCCAGCTTATTAATTCTTTCTAATTCTTCACAGAGGTGGAGATGAGTGAGGATGCACACACGGTTTACTGAATATTAAGAGGGAGAAGATCCAGTAAAAGTAGCAAATGCAGGTATAATTTAAAAATAGAAAAAGATGAAAGATAAGTGAATTTTATTAGGGATTGAAATATAATTGAATTTTCCTTTTCCTATTTTGCCATCAAAGATGGCAGAAAGAAGTTTAGCATTGTGGGAAAGGGTCTTGCATTGCTAACAAACCTGTGCAAAGTGGCTGTACCTTCCTGTGCAGCGGGGTGTGACTGAAGGGATGTAAATGCAGCTCTTATCTGTGCCACATGAAGGGATGGAGAGGAGATTTAGAGCCTTGAGCAAGAAAGAAGATGGCACAATAACTTTCACTGGGATTTAGTGCTCCACCAGGAGCAGAAATGGGGCGAACACCTCCTTTGGTATGAGTGGCATTAAGTGTCTGTTCCACTGAGTGTCCGTCACGAGCCTGGCTGTGTGATGGGCTGTTGGCCTGCCTTCACCTCCAGAAATGTCCAGGAGGGTGAAGGGATGGGGAAGGCTCCCATTAGGTGCTGTGCTGGGAGATGCACAGGCACAGAGAGGTGCTGCTGGGGTGTCAGAGTCCCAGGCTAAGGTGCTGACCTCAGAGCCCCCCAGGCTCTCAGAAACCTCTCCTCTCCCATGCTTTCTGGGAGGAAGGAGGCAGCAAAGCACGAACCCTTAGTGGCAGCAGGCTCTCCCTGGGCTCACAGCTCCCCAGGGGCTGCTTTGCCCTGCAGCTTGGACTGGAAGGGCAGAGCACGTCAGGTGTGCTGAGTGAAGGTGCACTGGAAGCTGGAGCAGCCTGACAGGTGACACTGACCTCACAGAGAGGGCATTTGCAGGCCTTCACCAAACCAAGTCCTTGCTGTGGGCTGGCTTTGGAGGAATGCAGGTGCCCAAGGAGCACCTCCTGTCCTGGCAGAGCCAGAGGCCCTGCGCTGCCTTCTCCCACCCCTCTCCAGGTTTGTACATGGCTCTGTTCAGTATCTGGCAGCTGTCCTGGGGTGTCTGCCTCCCCCTGGGCTGCCCCTCCATCCTGGGCACCAGTGTGCAGACACATCCTTGGTGGACCCGTGCCTGGCTGAGGGAGCTGCTGGCAGCAGAGTCACCACCACTCCCGTGGGATGGGGGCAGGAGCCAAGATCTGCTTCCTCCAGTTAAAATGGGCAGGAAATTAAATTAGGGGGGGCTCTGCAGCCAAGGCAAGTGGCACAAAATGAGGGAAAGGCACAAAATGAGGGAAAGGTCACTGTGATGGGCATCAGCCTGCTTTGCACCTTGGCACCTCCTGGCCCAGACACATCCTTGGTGGACCCGTGCCTGGCTGAGGGAGCTGCTGGCAGCAGAGTCACCACCACTCCCGTGGGATGGGGGCAGGAGCTAAGATCCGCTTCCTCCAGTTAAAATGGGCAGGAAATTAAATTAGGGGGGGCTCTGCAGCCAAGGCAAATGGCACAAAATGAGGAAAAGGTCACTGTGATGGGCATCCGCCTGCTTTGCACCTTGGCACCTCCTGGCATTGCCTGTCCCTCTGAGCTGTGACCCCAGCCCCTGCAGCTCTGGCAGAGCCCACCCTGGAGTGATGGCAGAGGAGCAGCCGTGCCCCCAGAGCTGGAGGGATGACACAGAGCAGCTTCACAGGGCAGGGGGACTGGCACTGTGTGCTCAAACCGTGGCACAGAGGGCTTGAAGAGAGACTGGCTCTGGAGTTCCCAGTGCAGTGGCACTCCACGGGGCTGGGCTGGGGCTGTGATGGTGAGATGAGATGAGCTGAGCTGCACTTCACACAGTGCAGGAGTGCAGGAGCAGTGTGGCAGTTAGGGGAACTTTGGTGTCTTTTTTTGGAAGGCTTTTGATAGCCGAGGTGGCATCTGACCTTCTGCATTTGGGATCTGATGGCTCAGGGACCTCCAGCTGTAATATTGGCCATCAGTCCCTACTCTCACATACAGAACTAGTGCCAGGCTCAGAAAAGCCTCAGAGAAAGCTCTGAGAACAATTCCCATTGTTGCATTCACTAAAACTTCTGGGCCCCCAAGGTATACAAGGGAGTGTCTGAGTTGTAAGTATCAAAAGAAATTAATTATTCTATATTATAATTAAGTCTTTTTTAATTAGCTGAATAATTGGAATTTTTCTTGCGTTACAATGCAGGTTTTCACATAGCCAGATAATCTGAAACTTTAGAGGGATTTACCTGAGAAATTGCTCGCATCCACAATTGTCTTTTTATACTATATAAAGTAGTAAATAAGGGTTCTGAGGTGGCTGCAAGAAAGGCAGCTCTCTTTAAAAGAAGTCTGTCAAGCCCAACTTGTCCCTCAAAATGTATGTTTTGTAAAAGCCTTCAGAAAATGTTGGGTCGAACTGTTTTAGTGTTATTGTGAGGAAATCAATATTTCCCTGCAGCCTTTGCAGCCCCCAAATTGTAGCATGTTGTTTGTGCAGGAGAAGCTGAAAGTGAAACTGCCTGAAAATGAGAGTGAAGCAAACTGGCCTGTTTCTATAATTTGCCTTAGAAGTCCCCAAGGTAAACAAAACAACACACTTGAGCAGTCAAAACTGAAATGTTCTCCTCATGCAAACACCCGAATTGAAGGATGCTGGTGGCATTCTGGGAGGGGTTTTGCTTTTCTTTCAGCCTTTTCCTGCTTGCCTCCCCTTCCCCATCTCCTCACGGGCCACGCAGCAGATCTTCCAGGTTTGTCCTCCCCAGGAGCACCAGGGAGGTGGTGCAGGGTCCCCGTGTGCTCCAGCACTGCAGTCGGTGATCTCCTGCAGTTCCACACCTTTTCCCACTGCTCTGACCTGCAGCAGTCAGGGCACCAGGCAGAGGTGGGGCAGCAGCTCCGTGTCGTGGGCACCTTTGGGAGCCTGGGGCTGGCAGAGGGGCAGGCAGCATCCCAGGTGTCCCTGAGCCCTGCTGTGACCTCTCTCATGTGACACGGGTGTGCCCTAACCCTCTGTAGGGCTGGGATTTGGACAGGTGGTGCCAGGAGGGGCAGTTTATTGCCTTGGGTGCTGTGGCTGTAGGCTGGTGTTCGCTGTTGCTGTAACCAAGCTCAGAAAGGAGCCACGTTGATTTGGTGAGTTTGGCTGGGACCTCTCAACCAAATTAAAAGTGAGACTCCAGGAGACACATAGCTGGCTCCCAGACACACCAGTGTGGATGCACCAGCTTTACAGTCCTGTGTGTTCACCTGTCTCAGACAGACAAAAAAGATGAAGCCGGTTTGTTTTTGAGAACAGGAGGAGATCAGGAGAGCAAAGGACCAGAGGAAAGCAAATGCTGTGCTGACTGGCAAAGAGACTGCTCTCTTTGTGTTCTTTGTGCTTGACTGAAACGTCTTCACAGGATTCTTTCCCTCTAATCTGGAAATAATTCTGATTTATTTTCAGCCCTCTATGAAGAGGAGTCACGCAGCAGCGGCTGGCGGCGGGCGGCTGCGTGGAAGCCTCAGTGTGCTTCCAGGGGGCTGCTGCCTTCCTCACTTGGCACTGCAGTCAATTATTGTGTTTTCAATTATATATAAAAGGCAATGATGGAGGTTTTCAGCTTTTATAGCACCACAAATCACAGAGTCCTTCTCTGTGCACGCGGCAGCGCTGCCACAGTGAGCGTGGGGCATCGCGGCTCCCCTTGCAGAGGGAGCAGCACCTTCAGGGACCCCCAGACTGCAAAAGGGACACCTGGGGAGGGCAAACCTTCGCAGGCAGCTGCTCCTCTGCAGGGCTCTCCAGCCAGCAGCCCCTGGCTGACAGACAGGGCCGGGCTGTGTGACCCTTGGGAGGGCAGGGAGATTATTTCTGTGTGCTTCACATGGGCAACAGCACTGTCAGGAGCTGTGCAGCTCGTGTGGGCAAGGAAGGGTTAAGGTGAGGACATCACTGGTGACAAGGGTCATGGCACAGAGAGTGACATTGGCTGCAGCACTTTTTGGGGTGTTTATTCTCTGGCCAGCTCAAAGTTACTGGGTAGAGGTGAAGAGAGTATGCTGGGAAACTGTTGGGAACTGGGATCTGTTTCACAGAATGATCCTTTCCTTGTACATAATAGATTATTATTATTATTATTATTATTATTATTATTATATATTTGCAAAGTTAGTCCTGGTATAAAAAGGCTTGGACTGGCAGATCAGGAGTGTTTGCCTTTGAAACCAGGCAGTATAAGGAAAGAATCAAGGCTGTAATAGGGCATGAACAATCCTCAGTAGCAGAAGATGCCAGCTACCATGCAGGGATCTGAAAAGGACTCACCACTGCCACACTTGCTCTTGACTTTGGCATTTGGGTACCTTAATGCACATTTACATGCCCCAAAATGGTCTGGTACAAGGGCTGCAGTGGCACTTGTCAGCTTCTCCAGTGGCCTTTAGTGGAAGAGGTATTAGCCAAGCCATTTTCGTTCTGCCCTGCTGGAGGGGAAGGGGTGTCTGAGTGCATCTCAGGCTGCGTTTCACCTGTGGCAGACTGGTGGTAAGGCAGCAGTCGGGTCCAAGAGCGGGGCTGGGAGAGGCTGAGCGGGCAGGAGCAGAAATCAAATCATTGCCACACGGAGTGAACAAAACACCTGAGTGCTGAGGCTCCAGTGAGAAAGCAAGGGAGAAATATAAACACAGGCTGTCAGCCAAACTGGGTATATTGGCTGCACTACAAACTGGGGAAGGAGAAGTGATCCTGGTGACTGGGTGAAGGTATTTGGGATGGTCCTGTTTCACCCAGAACTCACCCTGGACCCCTGTGCTCCTTTGCAGGGTAAGGATACAGGCAAGGAGGGTCCCCCCAAAGTAAAGAAAGCTCTTAGTTCAGGGAGACAGGGACCAGAGAGACCACTGAGGGACTCAGTTAACTGCAGCTGGCTACCAGTGAAGGCTGGTTTTGAGCCTAAACTGGAAATAAAATAAAATAAAATAAATTTAAAAAAATAAGAAAAAAAAGTCATTCCTAGAAAATGTCTCCTGGTGTATGTGCTGCCCTGGTGCTGGGGGATAATGAACTGGAATTCAGAATTTTCTGGGTGTCAGGCATGACGGGGGGACCTAGGAATGCTGCTGACATAAATTAGGGGCAGGGGTTCAAGGATGTGCCAGGAGGACTGGAAGGATTCTCTGGAAAGAAAAGGAACTTAGAAGTTCTTAGGCAAAGCAGTTGGTACCAGCGATGATTGCTTTCATGGATCAGGGTCCAGAGGACAAACAAACCCAAAGCTGGGGGGGAGGAGAGGCCCTTGACTGTCCTGCAGTGTGTGGCTGTCTGCCCACAGGAAGGCAGAGGGTATCCTGTCTGGGCTGGATAAATCTTGGAAATGGCACTTGAAGCAGACATGAAATAGGTTTTGGAGGGAGCTAGAGCCTGGGAGAAGATCTGGCAAGATGGAATATAAAATCCATTAGTGTCTTAATGCATAAATTGGCAGAACTGTACAACAGCAATGAAAAACAAGCTACTGGGAGCCCAAGCTGTTATTAGATTCTGGTGCCTCAGTGACGATGGAAATTCGTATTGTGCAAGAGTCAGGGTGCCCATAAGGTGCCCCAACAGCCACGGGTGTTCAGGGGTCTCCTGTGGTGCAGGGAGAGCCTCAGCTCTGCCCCACACACACTCCAGTGCAAACTGCTCACTGCAAAGTGTGCCTGAGGGTTTTTGCATTCAGCATCATGTTCAGGATAAAAAATGGGCTTTTCAGCAGCCTGTTCCTTAAACAAAACAGGTGAGTTTAGATCTGACTAACAGTGCAAGTATAATACAGAAATAGAAAGACTCATAATTACCTTGCCTACAAAATGATGTTTTCCTGTAAGGGCTCCTGAAATAGTCAGAAGAGCTTGGGATGAGGGTCAGTTACCTTTCTGCAAGTATAAGCCTGAGATAAGTTGGAGTATGGGAAGATTAATGCCTTTGCTTTAATAGCAGGGCTTGATCCAAGACTGCAGAAAAGCTGTGAGAACCCAGGCGAGCCCAGAGAGCCTGGTGGATCCAGGAGAGCCAGGGCAATGACCCAGGGTGTGTAATTCCCCTGTGGGGCTGGCATTACAGGGAAATAGAAAGATGCATCTGACTGCGGATTTCAGAGCATTAAATGCTGTAACTCTGCAAACATCACCTCTTCTTGTTAAAGTGCCAGAAATTACAGCTGCACTAGTACAAGGAGATAAGTGGGTTTTGGCCATAGATCTAGAAAATGCATATTTCTTCAGCTCTTTAGCAGAGAAATGTTGGTAAAAGTTTGGGGTTTACAGTTCAGGAGGGGGAAAAAAAATATTTCAGTTGAGTTCCTCAAGGATTTCACAAGCTCCTGTGATCTGTCACATACACATCACCCAAATGTGGGAGAAATTAGCCTGCAGGAAGTGTGTGACATCAGACGTGGCTCACACCTGAACTGGGTAGATGCTGAAGAACAAGTGTGTCAGCAGACTGGAAGATTTGGCTGCAGTCCAGGAGGGAGGGTGGAAAGTCAACAGACAAAAGGTTCAATTAGTGCAACAAGAGGTAAAATATTTAGGAGCAATACGAGGTACTGAAGGCCAGGCTCCTGATAAACAGAGTGTGGAATTAATTCCAAAGCTGCCCAGCCCCACTGCTCTGCCTAGCTGAGAGCACTGTACACACTTAATTGTATGCAGGATTTTATTCTGATGCTCACTGAAGTGAGTCATCCTCCAGCTAAGCTTTTAGAGCAAAGCAGGCAGTGGGAGCAGGGTGTAGAAAGCAGGCAGCTCAGTCGAGCTGAAGCCAGCCTAGCCCGAGCTGCAGTGCTGGGCTGCCTGGACCCAGGAAGCCTCCTCATGCATGGTTTGCCTCTGTCAGCCAGGGAAAAAAGTGCCAATTTGGCACAGAAAAGAAAGATACCGTGTTCCAGCCTATTGTCTGTGCATCTCAAATCTTATTGACACCGCAACTCCTTGTCAAAAGGAATGAGTATATTTAGTCTGGGAATCAGAAAAATTGGATTATCCCGTTGGAGGGCGGCCAATGGCACAACACCCTGGCCATGCTTCCTTGAAACACAGCGTGTTCAGCACAGCACAGGAGGGTGCCCGTGGAGCCCCAGGCTGGCAGCACAGCCCTTGGTGGGTGACTGGGACAGGGGGGCTGCAGCAGGGCACGGGGCACCAGCAGCTCTGCGCATGCAGGGTGCTGAGCCGAGTCCCTGCAGCCTCCCGCTGCGCAGTGCCCTGTGCAGGTTTAATTGCCCTGTCAGAACGGATCCACGCGAAGCAGAAATGTGCTGTACAGGTGGCTGGGGCTGTGCAGAGCGAGGCTGGCACAAGATGTGCGTGCAGAGAGGAGCAGGAGGCGGCGGGCAGGGCTCGCCTCGCTCACTGCAAGTGGCAGCAATCCCACAGGCATTGTCAGCTGTGCCTCCCCACGGGCTGAGCCAGCCACCGGGAAGGATTGCATTTTGCTGAACAAGTTTTTTGCCCGTCTAGTTACAAAGCGGCGACTGCACGGAGCAGAATGCCCACAAACCTCAGGATGTGATGGATTTAGCTTCCAAAGGAAGCTTTGAGGAGGTTAGTACAGGTGGGAGGCAGAAAGTAGGATGTGGTGTTCCCATCTGAATGACTCCACAAGCAGCTACAGTCTGCCATGATTCTGTTCCTTTTAAGACCTTGACACGAAGTGGGATATGACTCTGAGAGAATTGGTGGTTAAAAACTTCCTTATCAGATGAATAGCAACTGAAGGGTCTCACAGATTAATGAATAAAGGGATCTGACAAACGACTGCAGGATAATCAACAAATAGCTGAGCAATTAGGGCAAAATGTTCTCATGGAATAGATAAAAGGCAGAAAATGGTAAATAATCAACATGAAGAATGGTGAGCAGGGGTTCAGGTAGTGCATCATGGGCTCCCAGCGAAGAGCACACCTGGGGCTGTGAGTGGGATGGATCTGGCACTAGCACAAATCAAGGATTTCCATTGTTTATTAGTTCAAGTAAGTTCTGACAATGTCAGGCAGCTTCATCAATCACAGCCAAAGCATTGAAAAGGAGAAAAACACTAAGCCATAAGAAAAGTTGTCTTTACTTTCCAGGTGACAGAAAGGAGTGAGTGTTAGCCATCACCAGGGCTGGATCAGCACAGAGACATGGATCTTCTGTGGTGGGTAAGAAAGCTCTTCCAGCTGCATTGTACATGACTTTTACTGAAGCTGGGCATGTGGTTGAGTGCTGTTGGGTTTTTTGTTCTGCCCACTGCACGCAGTGGTGGTGCCTGTGTTTCACCCTGGAGCTGTCAGGGATGTTCCCTGAGATGCCCACATCCTCTGCTCCCTGTGGGAGCACAGCCCCTGCTGCTCAGTGGGATAAAGGCAGATTGGTGCAGTTTGGTGGGAGCTGGGAGCAGCATGGGCTGGGCTGGAGCTCTCTCCTGTGAGGTGTCCAAGCTCCCCATCATCCACAGCTGGACATGTTCAGGGATGGCTTAGAGCTGCACCAGCCCCACTTTCCCAGAGCCACTCGTGCTTTGCTGTGGCTGGAAGGAAAGCCCAGCAGTTTGAAAGCCCTTATGTTTTATTTCCTTTCCTCTTCCCTCCCTTTCGCAGCCCCATCCACTTCAATTTAAAAGTAGTGTGTTCCCCTTTCCTGAGAGGCCAGCGTGTGTCTGGCAGGCAGTGTAGACACAGCCATGCACTATTGTTCCTGTCACCTCCAATCACACAGCCATCACCATCATGCTAAATCCCTTCCTCCCACCTGCATTCCTCTGGATCACATCCTCCCTCAGCCTCCATCTCCTGCCCTCCCAGCCCGTGCAAGCAGCTGAGCAGGGAGAACTGCCTTGTTATGGTGGAGGGGCTTTTTCCTGTCAGGAACTTGTTTGTTCTGCCATGAGCTAGGATCTCTTGAGAGAAAGCAAGCTAAAAATCTTTGAGCAGCCTCTTCTGTTCTGCCCTCCTGGTGCCAGTTGAAAATGAGAAGAAAAGGGTGGGGGGGAAGATTAAAAAAATAAAGAAAAGAAGAAGCTCTTCAAAAAGGGAGACTCTTCCAGAGCCCAAACAATCAATGGGACAATAGGAGATGAGGATTGCGCTCTGCTCCATCCCTGGGAGCTGGCTCTGAATGGCCTGGGTGATGAGCTGAAAAGCTCCCTGCTCGCTGCAGACAAAGCTGGGCAGAGGGCAGAGGGCAGAGGTAAAACCAGCTGGGACCCTCTAATCAGGCCCACGCTGGGGCTGGTGGCACTGCCAGGGCTGGTGACAGCGGGCAGGAGTGACCCCGAGCCCCAGCTCCCGTTCCACAGCCCACGGGTGGCTGCAACAAAGACACCTGGCACTGCACACTTCATCTGTGACCTCTTTCTGCTGGCCACCAAAACCACAGAGCGCCGGGGTCAAGGATCATCAGCTGACGAGGCACAACTGCCTTGTGCTTCTGTGCTTCCTGTGAGCATCAGCTGCTTGGGAGGCAGGGTTTGTAATCCTTCCTGTGTGCAGGACAGGCTTCTGTGGAGCTTGGGAACAAATTCTTACAGAACTGCAGCTGTTTGGGCAGCTCCAGCTGCAGCTCCTCTTGCCGTCCCTCCTCTCCTGCCCAGAGGCTGAGCCAGTGGGCCCCAGAGAATCTGTAGGGCTGTCAGCCCATCTCTTCCCAAATTTTTGGTGAAGAAGGATTTGCAGACACCAGGGACCAAAAGAAATCCATTCCCACCCCTGAGTGAGCTCCTGAGGGTCCCTGGCTGTGCTGCACAAGCCAAGGGGCTTTGGGAAGGTCACCTGCCTCAGCAGGGAAGACAAAAGATGGATCTGTACCTCTGTAATTTATTTTTTTCTAGGCAAGCTAAAGAAAATTTGATAGAAAAAAATGTATGGTTTGAAACCTAAAGAGTCAAGGGTCCATTTGATAGATTTTCTTTTAAGTTTTGAGCTTTCTGGGGGTTATTTTATTATTTTATTTGGTAGTTGGATTTTTTTTTTTCTTTTTTTTTTCCTTTTTCTTTTTTTTTTTTTTTTTTTTTTGGGGTTTTTTTTTTTTTTTTTTTTTTTTTTGTTTTTTTTTTTTTTTTTTTGGGATTTGGTTTTTTTTTTTTTTTTTTTTTTTTTTTTTTTTTTTTTTTTTTTTTTTTTTTTTTTTTGCATTAGAAGTAGTGTCAGTTGTCAAACAAGACTCCAGATTGATTTGGTTTTTCATGTCTAGCTTTCAACACCCTCAAAGGCATCTAATTGTTCAGGACAGAGTGAGTATCTGCACTTACAGAAATCAAGGCTGGAGTGGAACTCCCCTGAAAGCCAGGCACCGGGAAGCCAAGATTAGTTTTCAGAAAGTAAGTGGTTTTCATTTTTCGGTTTCTCAAGGACTCTTTCAAGGGCCAAGCAGATGGCTGGGAGATCTACAGAATGGAAACCTGCACTTCTAATGGGGACACAGAAGTGTCTGTGGAGGGGGTTGTTTGTTTGGGGCTTCTTTTTGCTAAATTGCCTTTTTGTTTGACAGCAATTTGCACTATTTATGCAGCTGGAATGCCACTGCATTTTGATGTGGACTCTCCCTTTTCAACAAAGGACTGAGAAAATTGCCACACAAATTCCAGGAGCTTCCCAGCAGCTCTGAGGCATCACCAGCAGAGCCATTTCCAACGTACAAATACCAAGGCACCAACAGAAGAAAAGCAGAGTTCAGTCCCAGAAGCAGCTCTGGCTCCGCTCTCAGGGGCTCTCATGGAGGGGTGGGCTTGTGTTGAGGGCCTCAGCTGCTTTCTCAGAGCTCTGGGGGCTGTGCTGGCCTTTTGGCAGGGGTGAGCTCCTGGGAGAGGCTCCTGTCCCCAGCAGTGGCAGCACAGGGCACAGGTGTCCCCATGTCCCCAGCCCTGAGCTGCCCGGCCCCGCTGCCCCCAGGGCCTGGCAGACCTTCCCTGTGTTTGCACCTCGCTGAATTTAGGCTAATGTCTTATTTCTCTGTCCTCTCCACATCATTCCCAGGGTGATGCACTGGAGCCTGCCTGGACACGTCCCTGGGAGAGGAACCTGCTGAGGAACCCACCCTGTGAGGCCAGGGGGCACCGGGACTGCCCCAAGGAGGCACAGGAACCCTGCAAGGGCACACAGGGCTCAGGGCTGGAGAATTAACTCCTCTCTCGCCCTCTGGGCTGAGCAAACTGCCCGGTGGCACGAGGAAATAGTGCTGATCCTGCACCTGCAGGGGGAAACTGAGGCACAGCTCCTGTCTCAGGAGCTGCAGGTGTTCCCCTGAGCCCACCCAGCCCGGGTTGCACTGGAGCAGTGCACAGACACCCCCTCATGTTTGCATCTCTTTGCTGTGTGCCTGTCCCACTCGTTTCCCTTGCTAGCCTGTCACAACCATTACTAAAATATGCTTATCTCATATATGCAAATAGCAGGATATTTATAAGATTCTTTGAAATTTCCATAATTGTGCTGTAAAAAAAAAAAATCTCTTTGCTTATCTCACAAAGTGTTGTAAGCACAGTGTTACTTTTATTGAAATCCAAAAATCACTCGGCAAAATAAGAATAGTTAGAAAACTGTCAGATTTTTATATTTTTGAAATAGAAAGGAAAGAAAGTGAGCAAACCAGGCTTTATTATTTTAAATTAGAAACCTTAATGCTCACCAAAAAGGATATAAACTGTAAATGTATTTTAGCAGTTCCTAGAGAAAAAGGGAGAGGTTTTAATAATAACACTGTGTGCTCCTATATCATTTTCATTAGAAAAATCTTGGAGCACTTTCAGCTTATTAAAGAATGGAATGCCTCAGAAGGCTCCTGGGAGGTACTAGAGAAAAGTAAAGTAACAAATATAAATCCACATTATTCTCCATCCTGTGGTTACCTGGAGCTTCCCGGCCCCCCTGGGATGCCCAGCTCCCTGTCCCCCCTGGCAGGGACAGGAGCTGCCCCTGCCACTCTCGGGGCCCCTCTGCTCCCTTTGTGGGTGATGAGCCAGCACAGGGAAGGAGTTTCCCAAATCCCGTGTCCTGCCCCGTGGGGACACACCAGGAGCTCTGCAGGGTTCCTGTGCCTCCCTGGGGCAGTCCCGGTGCCCCCTGGCCTCACAGGGTGGGTTCCTCAGCAGGTTCCTCTCCCAGGGACGTGTCCAGGCAGGCTCCAGTGCATCACCCTGGGAATGATGTGGAGAGGACAGAAAAATAAGATATTAGCCTCAATTTAGCAAGAGTCATAAAATGTTCACTGGAACAACAAAAGGAGGAAGAGAGGCTGTAAAGGTAGGGGGTATTCCCTGGTCTGATGAAGAAAATAATATTAAAAACTCCCCAGTGTTTAATTTCAGGAAATCCAATAGACTGAGCCAGTGCCCAGAAGAGGAACAGCATGTTAACATATCTTAGATAAACAGGAGCCAAGTTGTTACCCTGACAGGAAAACGAGAGAGCCCATCAGTGCAGTGGGGGAGAATAATAAATTAAAAACCAGATGGTTCAAAGATGTGATTGCGTCTTCAGCTTCAGCAGGAAGAGGGAAGGGGAATTCATATGTATTGCAGGCAGGCCAGGAACACAAAAGCTTGGAAAAAACACAAGAACAGGAGAGGCAGGCTCATCAGAATGAAATTAATTAAAAGAGCAGGACCTCAAGTTATTTTAGGCCCCAGTGGTAGAAACACCAGAATTCCAAGCTCCATTCTTCATTTATACATAAAGTTTCCTATTTCATCCATGCTCAAAAAAGGACCTCTTCCTTTCTGAGCTAGATAGTGAGTCAAGGCAGATGGGAATTATTCTGAGCTTGGAGAAAACAAAGAAGCACAAATTAATGGCTTACTGGCAGAAAGGCAGTTTAAAGCACTTTGCCAAAGCACATTTTATTCCTACCCTTATCCTACATAGATATTTTTTCCTTTAATTCTGCTCAGCACAGAAATGCATGACTAAGCAGAGATCCATATCTGCATGGTGCATAGGCTGGAGGGGGCATTAAAACAGGAAAAAGCAGACAAAGGGAAGGGGGGAGAGCCTGCAGTGGCTGGTGCAGGGACTTAACAACTTGCTGCGAGTCGTTCAGCACACAGAAAATAGAACAGCCCCATCTTGCCAGCTTGAACTCTCTCATCCCATCCTTTCTGTGTGGGTTTCCATGCATCTGCCTGCATTCTGTCACACATACATGGACATATGCACAGCACACCCATCCCCGAGTGCTCCACATGCACAAGCTCTGACTGGGAGGAGGAGTCCTCGTGCCCATGGGCACCTTGGCCAAAATCCCACTTCTGCCATGGCAGGAAGTTGTGACTTTGGCTTGACAAGTGGCAGGGTTTGCAGAGCTCTAAGTCTGCAGCAAGGCTCTCCCTGCCCGGGATTCTATTCAGCCATTTCTGTGAGAAGTCTGGAAATCGTTTAACTGTGCAAATTTATCATGCATAAACAATTTAAGTTATGATACCGATAATATTTCAGTCTTAATTTGGCAAAATGATGGAGGCAGAAACTCAAACTGCACTTGTGTTTGAATAGTGTTGATTCTTCCATAACTATTAACTTTCAAGACCTCAATTTGATATCCCCTGGGAACAGATTCCCTCTGTGCTTAGGGTGTTAGAAACAGGAGATCAGGAGGTGGAGGTTCAGTTCTTGTTACGAGATTTTCAGCTGCTTTCTTAACTTCCTGTCACCTCTTTTCCCCTTGTGTAAAATTAGGATAATGACATTTCTTCATATGACAGCAGCTTAAAGCGTTCATGTCTGAAATGCTCAGGTGCAAGGTGTTACACACTTCAGAGATTATTGTTTATTACCACGATTGCTATTACTGATATTTCTGAGAGTTTCACTCTCATGTATGCAATAAGGGCAAAATATTATGAACATTTTGCCTGATTTTGAACTTAAAACAAATTTTGTTCTGAATTAATTCCTTTGAATAGAATTACTCCTGAACTACATCAACTGGGGACCAGCTGCTGACCCCAAGTGTTTAAGAACTCCAGATAATCACTGATGAAAAGAGACAAAAATACATTTTATCTAAGAAGTATCTAATGTTGTGATAGAAACTGAAATTAAAGTATAATCCAGAGAGAGAGGGAGAGAGAGAGAGAGAGGGAGAGAGAGCGTATTCTTTAATTAAAATCAGCTACCTCAAAAGATGGATTTTCTCAGGAGTGAAATTTGCACTGTGCTGAAGGCTTTCCACTTAAATCCTTGATGATGCAAGGAAAAAGAATTCTCAGGGAGTAATATTGGCATTAGCAGATAGCCACATGCCACTGCACAATAAGGGAAAATCTGCAGAGAAAAAGATGTGTGGCAAATAGATGCACAAAACAGGAAACTCCCTGAAACACAAACACACGATTGTTCAGCAGCAAATGAATAGTTTGGCAGAGAAAGGGACACGAGATAGAGGCTTGAGGACAGAGGGAGGAAAATAAACCCAGAAGCAGCAGAGATCAGTGAAAACAATGGGCACTTTCTGCCAGGAGATATGTTAAAGGCTGAAAGAGGGGTTTAGATAACGTGCTCAGAAGGATCCATGGCTGTCCCACCACCCCTGTGGCAGTTCCTGGGGCAGGCAAGCACAGGGGGGTTCAGGGCATGGGGATGGGGGGCCAGGGGAGAGCAGCATCCCCTGGGGCTGGGCAGCACTGCCTTCCCACCTGCAGGACTGCTGCTGCTGCTGCTGCTGGGGATGGTGATGGTGATGATGATGGTAATGGTGATGATGATGATGATGATGGCAGCTGTGCTGGAGTGGAGCACTCCCAGAGGTGCTGGGTTGGGAATCCTGCTCCCTTCCCGGGTTAGCTGCCATCACAGGTGGCTTCCTGCAGCACAGAGAAGGCTCCTGGCCAGGCAGGTGCTGGGTAGCTCTGGAACTGGCCGTGTGGCAGGATGACCCTGCAGAAACATCCCTTCCATCCCTTCACCAGCATTTATTTCATCGTGGGCAGCAGAGAAGGTTCCAGCAGCTACCTCACGCTGCTTTCCTCACGCATGCAAATCTCTCTTGCAGGAGTCTTGTCCAACAGCCAGGTGGGCTCTGGGAGAAGAGGTTCTGCTGCAGTGAGGAAAATATATCTATTTTTTTTTAACCTTATTATTTTTTTTTCCTTCCTTTTCCAAAAAAATATATCTTTCCTGGTGGGCTCTGGGAGAAGAGGTTCTGCTGCAGTGAGGAAAATATATCTATTTTTTTAAATCTTATTGGGGTTTTTTTCTTACTTTAAAAAAAATATATATATTTCAGGGCTAAAGTGGAGGAGCTGCTGCAGAGGTGTCACACCTCTGGGGAAGTGGGCAGCAGCAGAGCACCCTCCCTGTGCTCAGGGCACCTCATTGCCAGGGAGAGGACACAGAGCTCCAGTGCCTGTAAATACCTCACAGCTCTGCTCTGTGTGGTGCAAATGTTTTTGTAGAAAGAGCCTAAACCCAAATTGTTAGTCTAATATTGGCCACGATACTGCAGCCAGGCAGGATGGGATATGTAGCAGGGGACAATTTAATGTGTCAGATTAAAACACCTCTGCAAATCTTGGCTGAGTTCAGGTTCCCAAAGAGCTGTTGTGGATTCAGGACAAATTTCAGCTCAAGCAGAAGGGTTGGCTGATCATTAAAATACATCATACAGGTAATCTGGCTCACACTCCCAGACCTTTAGAGGTATTTTAACACCCACAGTACTCCAAGTGCTAAAACAGCTTGACCAAATTTGGCATTCAGCATCTCCTGAAAGGAAAATAGAACTCACAGCAGCAGAAGAGCGAGGCCTTCTCAGTGCTGTGACTTACATGGGAAATCAGAGGCTCCTCCTGAGCTAGCTCCACCTTCCCAGGGCTCCCAGCACCCTGAGCTGCCCAGCTCTGCCAGCCTG